AAAAAAAAACAAAGAAATACCATCAAAATTGCTACAATAAACAAGAATTTAACTTTCATAATTTGGACTTTTAATTCATAACCACAAGATTACAAAAAGCTAGAAGGAATTAGATTATATTTCGATCACAACATTCCATTATATTTTCTAACAAACCATTCCGTAGTTAATACAATAGCAATCAAAATCAACAACCAAATCCAGTCAATTAAAGGACTTTTGGTAGAGACATTTTTCTCTATCGATTTGTATTCTTTATTTTCTAAAAGCTGCTGAATCAAATCATCGGCCTGATCTGCGAAGAAAGCTTTTCCGTTGGTTTGCAACGCTAATTGCTTCAATTTTGTAACATCAGGATTTACAAATTGTTTTTCGATATCAAAATCTAAAATTTCAAAATGACTTGAATACACTGTATTAGAATTTAATTCTTTTACAGTGAAATTATATTTTCCGGCAGCTAAACCGTCAAGATTGGCTGAGAAAGAATTGTTTCCTTTTAGTAAATCGTAATTTTTATCTAGCTTCGTTTCGGCATTTGTAACTGTAATGGTGAGTCTCGCTTTTTCGTCGAACTCATAATTTTTATTGAAGTATTGTGCATTAATTACAATTGCTTCTCCTGAATTATAAAAACTTTCATGCGATACTACCAATGATTTTCTTGAAGTTGTCGAAGCTAAATATTGAATGATCTTATCGATAAAAATATCATATTTCTCAAACGACTGATTCTCGATATGACTTTGCAGACGCCATTTCCAACTATTTTCTCCTAAAAGAAAAGCGGTTCTCTTGCCCTGATTTTCGGCGAAAGCCAGTAAAGGTGCGTTTGTCGCAACGTTTCTTATTTTTGAAGAAAGCAAAACAGATACATTTCCGTTTGTTGTAATAGTTCCGAATAAATTTTGCAGCGGCGGAAAATTTTCAAAACCAATATTTTCTATTGCAAATAAATTAAACTGCGATTCAAACTCTGATAAATAATCTTCTCTTTGTCCGCTCATTTTAAACACCAGACTATTTTGTTGCTGGTTCAAAAAATTAAAATCGGTGTTGTTTCCGGTAATGATAAAGGTATTTGTTCCGGCTAATTTGTTATTATCAAAAATAGCTTTAAAAGCTGATGTTGGCTGATACAAAACTAAAACCGAAACTTCTTGTAACTGATTAATATCATTTGGCTTAGTCAATATTACTTTACGCTGTGCATTAACTTCAATAGATCGTTTTAATGCAGCAATATCCGGATGATTAATAGCCGAAACTATCGCTATAGTCGATTTTTGATCGATCACTTCAACAGCAAAATTTTTGGTATTATTATAACTGTTTTTTTCTTTTGAACCTGATGAAATACTAGCTTTAAAAATTTGCAATCCTACTTTATCAGCAGGTAAAAGCAAGTTTAAAGTCGCTGTTTTTTTTGATGCCGAAAAAGAAATTTTCTCTTTGGCTACGACAGTATTTCCCTGCGAAATTGTAAAATCGGCATTTGCATTTTTATCTCCTGAATATTGCAGAAAAACTTCTACAGGAAATTTATTTTTATGAAAAGCGTATTTATTTACGTTAAGCTGATTGATTTTAAGATCAAGAAAGGTGGTTGTATCTCCCACAACTAAAGGATAAACTTTATTGACAGGATCAAAACGATATACATAATCGTTTCCTGTAGTTTGATTTCCGTCGGTGATAATGACTGTTGGGAAAATCAGGTTTTTATTAATGCTTTTAAGGTTCCTGGAAACTTCATCAAGATTCGTTTGCTTGCCTTTAAAATCGAATTTGTCCGAAGGCTTGAAATCAGCATCAAACTGATACGACTGGATTTCAAATTTTTCTTTAAGGGCAGGATTCGAAATTATTTTTTGATAAAGTTCTTCAGCTTTTTTATCCGATTTTAAAACTGTAATCGAACTTGAATTGTCCACTGCAATTGCCAAAGGGGTTTTGGTAATTTCCAGCGAGTTCTTTGTCATTATAGGATTTATCAATAAAACTAATAATCCAAAAATGGCTAAAAAACGTAAAAAAGACCAAAAACACAACCACATTGGATTTGTTTTTGGCTTTAAAAAAATATTGAAAATACGACAAACCACCAGCTATTACTAAGGAAAGTAATAATAATAGAATCGTGTTTGTAGTCATATTTTATAGTTTTCAGTGACAGTTTTCAGTAATCAGTGCTACTGAAAACTTAAACTGAGATTTATTCTTTAGGTTAACATTCCTCCACAAACATTAAGTACTTGTCCGGTAACATAAGCACTCATGTCAGAAGCAAGGAAAAGACAAGCATTTGCAACGTCTTCTGCAGTTCCACCACGTTTTAACGGAATTCCTTCTCTCCACCCTTTTACTACATCTTCGCTTAATTTTGCTGTCATTTCGGTTTCAATAAATCCCGGAGCAATTGCATTACAACGAATATTACGAGAACCTAACTCTAATGCTACAGATTTTGTAAAACCAATTGCACCTGCTTTAGAAGCTGCATAATTTGTTTGCCCTGCATTTCCTGAAACTCCAACTACAGAACTAATATTAATTATAGAACCAGCACGTTGTTTTAGAAAAGTTTTCTGAATTGCTTTTGTCATATTAAATACTGACTTTAGATTTACATCGATAACCTGATCAAAATCAGCTTCAGACATACGCATCAATAAATTATCTTTTGTAATTCCTGCGTTGTTTATTAAGATATCTACTGTTCCAAAATCAGCTAAAACAGCATCAACAAAAGTTTGCGCTTCATTAAAATCGGCTGCATTCGATTGGTATCCTTTTGCTTTAATTCCTAAACCATTTAGCTCAGATTCTAAAGCCTGGGCAGATTCTACAGACGAACTGTATGTAAACGCAACATTTGCGCCATGTTTAGCAAAAACTTCTGCAATTCCTTTTCCAATTCCACGGCTAGCACCTGTAATAATGGCAACTTTTCCTTCTAGTAATTTCATATTCAAAATTAATTTTAATATTTATTTGTAGCTAATCCTGCTCCCGAAGCCTCGGGACATTTCCATCTTTTGCTTTAAAGAAAAAACAAAAGAGTTTCCATTTCTATCAGGGCTATGAATGACTTGTCAAATATATGATAATTCCCTTTTTAAAAAAATAACAATCTTATAATTTATGAATATGGGAATTACTTTAAAAAATTAAAGGGATAAAAAAACCGTTTCAGGAATTTTGAAATGGTTTTTTTAAAGAAATAATTTTATTATAAGCACTCTATATCATCAATTGTTACTCTGCATATTGGTTCAACTGGTTTTATTTGTGGCTCCATACATGGTCCATAATAAGGAAGCGATGTCCAGGGAATCATGCATATGACAGTTCCAGCCCCGCCCATTACATTTTTCTGTTCATTAATACTAAGTACTTCAACTCCTTTAAATTTTAAAATTGTTTTTAACATAATAATTGGGTTGTTTAATATTTGTATTTTTAATTGCTTTCTATCTGGAAATAGCATAAAAAGCTTTCTTTAACCCCAAATTACACTGCCGTGAATTGTTATCCTGCAATCTGGTTGTGGATTAGCGCATGGGTAATTAGGATAAGTAATAGGATTTGAGCCTGGTGGAACATAACGATCACATCTGGGAACTTGATAAGAATCTCCTTTTCCTATAATATTTATTTGTTCCTCTCTACTTAACATTTTAACTCCGGAAAAATTTAAAATTGTTTTTAACATAGTGTTTAAATTGTTTGATGTTTGTTTACTCAATCCTTTTTTGTCTGTTGAGATTCAGACAAAAAAC